CATCCTCCTACCCCCGCCAAGTGTCTCCCTGCCCATGCCTGAGGGGGCTGGCGGGACACACACACAAACACACCAGAGCCCTGCCCGAGGGGGCTGGCGGGACACACACACACACACACACTCTGTGGAGAACTCCGAGCCCATCTGCGGGCCCCATGCCTACCCCATCATCCTTCTGCTGTTGACCTGCGTGCCCACGTTCCTCGCCCACAGGAAGACCTTCCTCTTCAGCGTGGATGACCTGTCGCTGTTCTCCTTTATCTTCTCCTGCATCTTCTCCCAGATCCGGGGCACCCCCAGGAAGGTCGTCGGTCTCACGTCATGCAGGGTGTTCACCAGGGTGCCCTGTTGGGAGACAGCATGACGAGCCGTGCAGCTGCCCACTCAGACCTGGTCTGACGGGTGGCCCGTGGGGGGGGAGGGGGCTCCCTCCTCTGGACTGATTTACACACAGCCGATATCACCCTGGCGGGGCCGAGGGGTAAATGCTAGGGTGCCAGCTGCAGTATCAGTGGTTCAAACCAGACCAGCGGCTCTGCAGGAGGCAGATGAGTCCCCACCACCACCACCACCACCCCACCACCCAGCCAGGTAAAGACCAACAGCCTCAGAAACCCTAGCTAACGTTGCTATGGGTTTGGAATAAACTATCGCAGGCAGTGAGCTGGGCTCCGGTCTGGGAATCTCACCCCAAGGGGCCTGGTGTCATGGTGAGTAACTGCTGGGTTGCTAACGGCGAGGTTGGCAGTTCAAACCTGCCAGCCACCCCGAGGGAGAAAAATGAGGCTGTCTGCTTCCTTAGGAATTTGCATGGTGGTGTTGGAGAAGAACAAGTACCGTGGACTGCTAAAAGGAGGAACCCCCATCTGTGTTGAAGAAGTCAGGCCAGAGGGCTCCTTAGAGGCAAGGAGGGCAAGACTTCGTCTTACATATGAGGGGGTACCCCCACAAAACCGGAATTGCTCTGAGCAGAGCTTTTGTAGAATGCATTTTCACCACTGGGCGAGCATCCAGCAATTGGTACCGCCTGGAAGGTTCTCTCTGGTCACAGTGAATTTTTTCATAAAAGCAGTTTCGCTCAAACCTCGTTTTTTTTGGTGAAGGCCAATTTAAGAGAACAGCGTACGCACGGCTGTGAAATTTTGTTTCCTCCTTGGAAAAAAGGCCGCAGAAACTGTTGTGACGTTGCGCACAGCTTCCAGGGACAGCGCTATGGGAAACTCAAGCGTCAGTGGTTTTCTCATTTCCAGAAAGGTGACATGTCGACTGATGACCAGCCTCATTCTGGACACCCGTCAACTTCCCGAATGGATGAAAATGCCGACAAAAGTCATGCCCTTGTGCTCAAAGACCGACAGTGGACCACTGAAGGCATGGGGAAGGCATTTGGGCTCTCTGGGACCTCGGGTCAGCACATTTAACAGAAGATTTGCTAAGGTTCCTCTTGCTAAGGGAACCAGACAAAGGTGTCCTCACCACCACGGTGCGAGGTGCTATGTAGTCGGCTCCGACCCATAGCCGCCCTGTGCACTGCAGAACGAAACACTGCCCGGTCCCGCCCCATCCTCACCGTTGCTCCTACGCCTGAGCCAGGGATGCAGCCCTGTGTCTGGCAGAGCAAACACACTGCCATCCAGTCGACTCTGACTGACGGGGTTTCTCAGGCTCTCTCAGTCCTTACAGGAGCAGACAGCCTCCTCTTTCTCCCTCAGGGTGACTGACGGGTCTGAACCGTGGACCTTGTCGTTCTCGGCCCCACACTGACCCGACAGCACCACCAGGGACTGGATCAATGGAATGGAATAAAAAAATTCAGAAGGGACACTTTATGATGATCAGTTGAGTAGTGCAAGGAATTCGAGGTGAGAAAGATATTAAAAATAGCAATAAGAATTTTTAAATTTTCAAAAACAATGCTCAGCTTAGACCCCTTACCTCACACCATACACAAAATGAGCTCGTCATGGATTACAGACCTAACTGTAAGGGATTAAAGCTAAAAGCCTTCCCGAAGAAAACCTGCGTGAACTTGGCATTGAGCAAGGATTTCCCGGGTGCGACATCAACAGCACAATCCATAGAAGGAGGACAAATAACAACGAACCCACTAATCGGACTTCAAGCAAGTTAAACACTTTTGCTGTTCCAAAGACACTACAAGAAGATGAAAGGAGGAGCCACAGAACCAGGAGGAAGTACGTGGAACGCCCACGTCTGATGAGCCACAGAACCAGGAGGAAGTACGTGGAACGCCCACGTCTGACGAGCCACAGAACCAGGAGGAAGTACGTGGAACGCCCACGTCTGACAGGCCACAGAACCAGGAGGAAGTACGTGGAA